AAGGCTGCAAAGAATTTGGAATAATTGGAAAAAGATGCAGAAAATATACGCAGGGAACTATAAGGCATGACTTCAATATGGATCATGATTTAATATTGTTCCATGTACTCTGTCATGTGTATTTCGTTGTGCATTGTTATAAGTAAAAATCTGCAAAAAAAAAAAAAGTGCATTAATTTGGGTTTACGGGTTTCAAAAAATCGAATTATTTATTGTCATATTAAATTTCATAACACCTCTAGAATACTGTCTCAAATTATCAGGTTGATCCGAGTAATAGTTTCGGATATACAGCCTTGAGAACTTGTGCGCTCGAGGCTAGCTCAGCTAAACGCACCGTCTTCAAACGCGTTTTTCTCGAGACTTTGGTTTTGAAGTCAGTTGGCACGATTTCTCAAACTACTTAACCGGTCTTCATGAAATTTTACGCAGGTCTTTAAGATACAACTCTTAAAGACTTAGATGAAGGGTTTTTTCTGATTACAACTATTTGAAAAAAGGTCGTGAAATTTAAATATTTTTTGGAAAAATTTCTCCCAAAAATCCAATTTTCAGTTTCTTCCCTTCGATCTAAGTTAAGGTTTTGAGTGAAACACGTATTTTTTTCATTTTAGATGATCCTGTAAGGAGTTATCGTGCCAACGCAGGCGCATATTTTTTACGAGGAGTCGCCGAAAATGGCGTTGCAAAGGCCGAGTTTAAAATATTATTTTCCCAAAAATTTGAGAACTTTTTGTTAATAGTGTATGCTTGTATCAATAAAAAATTCTAATAAAATATTTCGTTTTTCATACAAGAAAAAACAAATGGTCGAAAAACGGTTTAATTTACCCGAGGAATTCCGTGTTACCCCCTAAAGCCTTCATATACCGTTAGAACCAATCGTCTATGAGAATAAATTCGAAGAACCTGAACTCTGCTACTCGAACTGCAATATTATGTGAAAATATTAAAATAATAATATTTATCACATTTCATAAGCTGAGTCAACAACTCCACGTTATAATTAGAACAACTGTTCCAAAATTAAAGTAATATTGAATGCATGCCAAGTTAACAGGTTTGCCAATGCATTATGCGTATTACAAAATGCCACAATTGTTTACAAATTCAAAGCAAAAACAAACACATAAGCAACAAAGTGCATGCATTTGCTGGCCTCGTCATGACTTGCATATGAATCACAAAAAGAAATGCGGGTATAATTACAACGCGCATTACAATAATATTTGGTATACATATTTACATATGTATGTGTGTGTGAATGGTTGCCTCAAAACACAACTGATTTAATGAGAGGCATGAATGGAAAATATACTATAAAAGTGAGTTTTTTAACAGAAATTCTCAAACGTTGAAAATATAACAATTCAAAAATAAAGTGAATAAATTCCCCTCAAAAGGTAAATGATAAAAAAATTATACAAACTTTTTCCTTTATATATAACCGTAATTATTTGTACTGATCTACACACTTTTGATAAAAAAAAAAAAAAAAAATTGAAAATAAAAATTAAAAATTAATTTTAAAAGTTAGAAGGAAAACAAAAAACGAAAGTAATTGCAGGCAAAAACGACAACAAAAACAGCGCAAAAACAACACATGTATTATGACATTATTGCGCCATCAAAGGTATATAATTATAGCAAATGCTTTTTTTCATGTTTGCATAAATCAGAGAAGATTTTAATTGGCACTAATTTAATAGAGCGTGTGTGCGATTGTAAATATTTTTGAGCCGGTATTGTTGTAGCTTTTATAAGAGCGTGAAAGCTGTTACGTATATTTAGAACTGTAGCTAGATGTTATATTACTGCTAGAAATTTATATTACTAAACTTTATTTTTGTTCAAAAAAGGCTGTAATTTCCTAATGTAATGAAATGCTCAAACTGATTGTTCGAATAATGCTACATCTGGATGTCTTCGAACTTCACTTTTGCTCGATTTGTAGCTCATATAATAAGCTTGCCATTCAAATATAGATTCCATATATAATATGTATCTCAAAGCGCCTAAATATAATAATTTCTACAATTTCTTATGAGAAAGTTAAGCTGAAGGGCGATTTAAAGTCAGAAAAATTAAAAGTAAATTCGAAAGAAATGTGAAGCAAACCTCCGAATACTCATCTAAACCACTCAAAATTTTACATTTGACAGCACTTAAACTATTATTTTTTTTCAGTATATGGCCATGCTTCTTCCTAGTTGTTTGAGTTCTAACAGCGACCATGCTGTCGGTTGATAATCAAACCGCACGTCGAAGAAGAGATCACATCATCTCAGCACTTCCTTCTGGATTGTCCCGCCGTTTGCGATATCAAGTCATAAACACTTGGAGGCTCTCACTTTGAGATGTCTCACCGAACCGGTGGCATTGGAAAATTTATTATGCATTATTATCTAAGGAAACGGTACAATCTTTAAAAGAAATAGGATCAGCACAGCATAAGACATATACATATCGACCATACAAATTGATCGATGAAAATCAAGCTGCTGTATGGAAACTTCTTTAAACATTTAAATAAAATGACCTTGAGAGCACTAGAATAATTTATGTTTCCTTCCAATACTTTGTACCCAAATTTATGATAAAATTATACCAGTTTACAGTATAGCTGTAGAAACTTTGATTTAAACTGAAAATTCTTAAGTGAAATTGTCTTTATAGGAATATCAATATTTTTTTCCAATGAAATTCTTTTCACGCAATTCGAAAAATACATTACTTGAGTTTAAAGTATTGGTAAGCTGTCTCAAAAGAACGCTGAAAATCATTTTCATGGCATTCTAACACTAAATGTTGCAAATACTAAATTTATCTCCGTTCTCGCATAAAACACATCTGATTTGGAAACAGCAATATCTGAACAGCGCTTAAAGTTACTTAAAGAAAATAGTGAGTTGATGATATAATATCTAAGGAATGTCTAAAGCCTTGTTAAGTACTTTGTAAGTGCCGTTAAACAAGTTTTAATTAGAGTAGCAATATAACCTTGGAAATGTTGATGAATGAGACAATTTGCTTGCAATAAAACCAAAATTGTCTAGTGAGACTTACAGTATAAAATTTAGATAGGTGTTTTGGTTTTTGTCTGACATTCGGCGCAGGATTCAGTACTTGAAACAGTTAGCAAAACCTACACCGTATACTGTAAAGCAGATTAAGTCATTACCGAGGACTACGTCCAAAGTTAGTTTGTGGCGGCCCGACACGTGTTTGCTTTTTATTATTCATTCCCTCTATTACTCTACTAGTACAATAGTGGCAAAACATTGTTGAAACAGTGACGCTAGAATGTGGACCTGTATGTGGAAGTATACAATAAGCAGGAGCCAAAAAATGGGAAAATCGTGTAAGCTGGAATCGTTCTACGGATCATTCTGATCAACTTTGCCTAGAAGACCATGGGCCTAAAACTGGTTTTTGTCCAGCTTTCAAAGAAGCATCGATATTTTAGGCCTTCACTCCAGTCTAGTGGCTTTATCTTCCAAAGTCGTTTTATGAAAAAAATGTAGAAATAATTGGGGCATTTGTATTTAGAAATTTCTATTTTAAGATTAATTGTTTTTTTATCTTAGCATAGTTAACAGATCCGTATAGCTCAATATCATAAATAATTATCACATAATTATCGCATATTATTATAGTTTGCATATATTTATACCTTTATGCTCTTGCAACATGTTGCTTCATGGTATAATGATCGTTTTCACCTAACGGTTGTACGTATCACATAAAACTAAGCCAGATAGATATAGATTTTACATTATATATATAACAATGAAAGGATTGAAATCCGGTGACTATTTGACTGTCTCTCCATCCGTCCATGCAAGCAGTAACTTGATAAAAATAACTTAAATACTTTGATGAAACTTGATATGCGCTTTCGGTTACGGTGCGAAAATAGCCGACATCGGACTTCAACAGCGCTCGCTTCCCAAATGACCCATTTTTGAACTTTATATGACCCTTTCCTTTAAAGTTATCAAACCAAGCACCAATTAATATAACATGATTAAACTTTGCACGAATAATGCCTTAGTGTATGCCACTTTATGACCAAAAATTTACAGAATCCTGTTAAAATTGTTCAAGCCCCTATGCCCTATGTACCGAATATTTGGATCCCAGTACCTAAGTTGACTTTTAACCGAAAATATAGGTCAATGCGTCAGATATATAATTGAAATTGAGGGAATGTACTTTCATGATACTAGTTTTTCTGTATATCAAAAACGTTTTGAATGGAGCCAATACTTCCCTTACCCCCCATTTACCTAATAAAAAGATTTTCGAATTTCCAGGTGTCTTTATAGGCCATATATCGGCCAAAATGTGAGTTATCTTAATAAAATTGAAAGATCGGGTTTTTCGTATACAGGCGTATTTTTGTGCTTAGAATGAATAAATCGGGGAAAACTCGACCTCGGCACCATATAACTCAAGACCTTTACTTTAATCCTTTCAAGTATGAAATTTTCGGTTATATCTGAAGTTAGTTCTTCTTTATTTGTTGGATCTTGCACTTATTTATTTTTTATTACATTTTAGTATTGGTTTTTGTTCCATTTAAAATGCCACCAACTCAAGAATGTGATAAGTATGATAATCTGCGAATTTTATTATATTTTACGACTTTACAAAAATTTCGCTTATGCCTTTTGGTGAATTTCTTGGACATGGTTCTGATTTAAGGGTTGAATAATATTGCAACGATTTCACTTCTAAGTATTTGTGTTTAAATTCTTGAGTTACCATACTTTCAATTATAGAAAATAAATAAAAATATTTTATTACTTTTCAAGAAAAAAAGCTGTCTGAACGAGTTATGAATGAATACTGTAGGAATTTTTAATTTTTTGCTAATCACACATTAACACAGACACTGCAATTGCACATAAACACACATGTAAGAAATAACAACGTCAGTTAATTGCATTTTATTGCATTAACATTAAATTTTTATGCTTTTAGTGGAACTTACTGACCTCCAGCACACAATCGCCCGGCTGCAGACCGCTCATTTCCGCTGCGGTATGTGCATCGACCGCGCTCACCTAATGACAATGGGAATCGAGAATGAATGCATGAGTGAAAACGGCAAGGCAAAGCGGTTAACAAATAATATTACAAAATTGCGTAATTCAACTATATATCAAAGTATTGATTTATGTTGCGCTCAGCGTTTGAGAGTCGAATTACTATGATTTGAAACTAAGCATGCGCAACGAAGCACTTGGCATCACTCATACGCACCCACGGATAGGGATCCCACTTGGTGCGTGTCAAATGGAAGCCGCACGAACCCGTTATAGTCTTTCGTATGCGCAACAAGCGCACCGACGGCGCGTAATGCGCGTAAATGTCGCCGGAATCGAAATCGGTTGAGGGGTCTTCCTCATTTTCACGCGGTATTTCTTGGTGCGCAAAATCATTCTTTAGATGTGAAGCATTTTCATCAACGTTTGCAAACTCGTTTTTCATTGTTGCGAATTTTCCGTTAATTTACTTTACAGCCGATACATTTGTCGCGTGTATTCCATCAATCGCGGCGTCTAAATTCTACTGACTATGCAGCGCACAGCAGATCGTCTTCATACCGGTAGGTGCCGACAGTTACAATACATTTGCATATTTAAGAGCACTGTAAATACATATACACGTACATAAACAATGGCTCGGTGCCGCTAAGATCGTGTACATGCGCCGCAATCCGCTCTGCTAAGCCAATTTCGATCGCAGGTGGGCTATGCGCACATACACGCACGCACACTTATGTTTGAGAGAGCGAGCACCTAAACACAATGCGCGCTCAATTTGTAAAATCACGTGTGAGCGACAACAATGCTTTGTTTATTGGTGTGAGTGTGAGAGTGTGTGTGTGTGAGAGAGCTGAGAGCACCAACTCGTTTGGGAGATTTTGGCATTTTTCTCAGCCGTTCACAAATTTTGTTTGTAATGTAGGGCAGAGTACGGTGATAAAATGTAAAGTATATAGTCACCTATTAATTCACGCTGTGCACAGGTTTACGAGTCAGTTATTTATTTTAATGGTTTCTATTGGACGTATATTGCTCATTCATCAAGATCAGCGCCAGGCAGTTGATTCACGTTGGGGCACGTGTAATGGAAAGATAAACTCGTTTTACAGTTTTTGTGAATTAGAGAGCAACGTTTAAGCATAGAATCTGTAAACCTTAGAATTTGTTGCAAGGAGCTAACAAATACCAAAACTTCAATCCGCAAATTTTTTGAAGACCTTTCGGGAATTCTTTGTTTCCCCCTCTCATCTCCCGCTTATTTGGAAGACAGGAAATTTTTTTTTCTGGGTTGGTATAACCGTCCTTAATTACGATGCCAAAAATTAGCGCGATCTGTCAATGAGTGTGTTTACAGCAGGCAGCAGCAACACCCCAGCTTTGAAAGTATTCGACGCAGTACCCGCCGAGGGAAGCAGAGGAAGACCTCCACTCCGTTGGAAGGACCAAGTGGAGAAGGACCTGGCTTCACTTGGAATATCTAATTGGCGCCACGTAGCGAAAAGAAGAAACGACTGGCGCGCGATTGTTAACTCGGCTATAATCGCGTAAGCGGTGACTACGCCAATCAAGAAGAAGAAGACTTTTACCTTTCTTCACACTGAAATATCCACACGGCACATGATGCATCGCTTCAATTTAATATTACTTTGAAGGCGATAAAATAAATTTGGATGATGATTGAATTTTCATTTTATTTACAAATTCCCAATATTTTCTTGACAGAATGTATTACTTCATAGGCGAGAGGACATTTAAGTTTCCTCTATTGTACTGACTGTCGCCTCATCTGTTGCAAAAGTCCCAATTTTATGATAATTAGAACTGCCGCTTCGCCGATAGTTTTCCATTTCACAGAATCTCGCACATAAATGCAGTCAAGTTTTCCACCGTTAGACTGCAAGTGTGGTTTTCAACTTTTCTCTTTTACTTGAAAATCGAGGGCAATGATGGCGTACGTGTTCGGAATCTTCTATAGGCTCTGTATAGGTCGGAAGATATGGACTAAACGATGATGTTTGTTTAGGTAGCTCCTAAAGTACTCGTGTCTACTGAGTATTAGCGTTAGATACGAATCCAGCTTCCCATGTTACCTGCTATTCACGAATGTACATATGTCCGGAACCAGCCAGTGGGTCTACCATACTTTGCATGAAGTTTGTAATAGGAAAAATGGAAGCTTCTTGGAAAGTGAAGAACGTATGCAAAATTTCAGATCGATATCTCAACTGAGGAAACTACTAAGTAATAAGAGCTACGGTGCGGTAAAGCAGGGAGGAATGCAGTTGTGTGCTCAAATGGAAAAAGAAATAAAGTGATTGAAATAGAATAATTTTTAATTGCCTATTATTTCATTATTTACTAAAGAAGATAAACAATATTAAATAAGAACTAATTGATTTATCTTTGAATGATGCTTTTAATTGAATATACAAACAAAAAATAATAATAATGAAATGAGCAAATATAAAAATAAATCGTTGAACACTTATACACGAAATTATCTCTCATAGTGGACTGTGGAAATTTTCAACTATGATAATAAAGCTTAAATTACGTTCTTATGTGAGCAGATATTAATAAATAGTGCTCCTCAATTGCTTTGCCAGATAAGTGTCAATGAAAGCTGGCAATGAAATAAGTAAATAATTTTATTTTATCGAAATCGGCAAATACAGAAGTTTATCATTATGCTACGAATAAAAATTTACGTTTACTCTAAACCAAGATTACCATAAATAAAATATTATACTATTGATGTAATTATTTGTAAAAACATGTGCAATTTCTTAAAAGGTTTAGACTTTCCAAAATAAAGGAAGTTTATTTTTAAACTCTGAATCGTTTAAGAGGAATGTCGTAATGGGTACAAGGTTTTGGTGATCAAAAAGTATCAAGATAAGTTATATATCAACCGACTTCGTACATTATAAATTTTGACTACGTTACATCACTTTCGGTAAGCTATATCAATATCTCTTCTTTACTTCGAGAGGCGTGCTCACTATTAACAAGAAAACAGGCATCGTAAGGATTCTTATACCGCAACTCGAGGACTTGGCAGATAACATTTGCATTAGGCACAAAATCTGCGACATGCACGAAAAGGTCAATACTTGTCGGACTTGAGGTAACCAGTGCAAAAACGAATCTATGAGAGTCAATCACTCCAACAGAAGCTACATAAAGACAGATAATGTGAAGCATTTTAACAATCGAGGGAAGAGCCGAAGCGTAGCCGAAGAAAAGAGTGATATTTGAACGACTGCAATCGGAGTGGGCAAGCTAGCAGTCTCCAGAATCACAAAGCTGTAAATAATTTTCACGAAGTTGACGCTGTTGTATGGAAACAAAACATGGCTGGTTTCTACTTCCAAGACTCAGATAATCCAAGCATTCATCTAAGCGCGCTTAAAAATTATCTGCAGAATGTTCTGGCCAATTAATTCTCTCTTTTGGTCAATCAATTATTATATAGAAAAGATACTGTTCGAATTTGTCAATGCCAAATTGAACTGTAAGCATGCACTGTAAGCATGCATGGTAAAGGCGTTATGCTCCAAAAAGAAGTAGCAAGGTAAAGAGCGGTCAACTCAATAGTCTATATTGTTAAACCAGTTACGACTGACCTGTTACAGAAGAATATTCGTCGAAGATTGTTATATAAGGTATCGCTACAATCTTCGAACTTATTGCTGAAATTGAACAACAAAAGCATATAGCTGTCGAAATTGGAACAAATATCTTTTTATATCATTTTTTGCTATAGAAAATGCACCTCTGAAAGGTATTACTACAGCTTCGGTGCAACTAACATTTTTCCTGTAATTTTCATCATAATGAGTTACAAAAGTATACCGAACAACAAAACTTCGTTACAATTTATTGCCATTTAAAATTTTCAGCCTAAAACAATCAGCAGCCGGTTCTTAATTTTTTACACTCTCTACACAGTTGTGCTTAATTGTTCTTACTCATTATTACTAAAAAATGAAATTAGAGGACAAGAATTTAGGAACCTGTTTAAATACTCAAAGTCTCACAATTTCTCAATCCTTTTTTTCATACAATAAATCCAAATTTTACGTTATCCAAAATTACTGATCAAAAATATTTTTATTTTGCGTGCTTTTAAGTTCTTTATAACCGAGTCAATGCTAAGCTTGTAATGAGATTTTAACCGACTGACCCACTAACAATTTAAGGCGAGAGTATACGAAATGAAATTATTTGCTATTATTATTGTAGCCACAATTTCAATGTACAATAAAGCACAAAATAGCACAAATGATGACTTTTCACAAAAAAAAAAAAAAAAAAAAAAAAAAAARAAAAAAAAAAAAAAAAAAAAAATAAAAAAAAAAAAAAAAAAAAAAAAGGTGAGAGTTAGCTTGAAAAAGCCTCGAAAAGCAGGCAAACAGAGAATAGTCGCTTTGTATGATATTTGTAGCATTTTCTCTACACAAAGCAAATTATGGCTTCATTTTTCACACCTTTGTGAAAATATAAAAAATATTAAAGGAAATACAAAAATCACAACAACAGCGTTGTAAAAATCCATTGAACAGATAATTGAGCTTAAAGCAAGCATCACAAGTCTGCGTGCAAAGCTTTTTATTGCACAAACAATCATATCTAAGTGAGCGTGTGTGTTAACCATTGTTTCTGGGCAAACAGAAAAATTTATAGACATGTACATATGTATGTACATATATATATATATATATGTATATCGTATATGTATATATAAATTTTAGCACATATGTGGTATGTGGCGTTTAAGCACTTTTTGTAGTTCTTGCCGTCTCGGCTTGTAGCCGCGTCTTTCCACTGGCCACACATGCGCTTGCACGCAACTGTTTGTTTGCCATTTCAATAACGTCAATTATAATTAACTGTGTGACTCAAAGAGCACACAAACTCAATACTGGCAAATGTCACACACATACATACATACATACACATTTAGTTGATATATGCGCAACGGATTTGACTACTTGACAGCGGCGGCGGTTTTACAATTGCTCTTTGACAGCATCCGTTTAGCAGCCGCAGCTTCTGTTCGATCGCCCACACAGCCACACCAACACACACATATACAAATTAGTAATTGAGCAGCTGATTGTGCTAAATAGTAAACTGTAGTAATTTTGATGGGAAAAATAAACAATAAAATTGTTGCGGTTGTAAAAGTTCAGCGTCCCTCTGACGCACAGCGACCGCCGGTGACTTTTGGCAATGAGCGAAGCTGTTGACTCCCCGCTGAACTCGAATCAAAACAGTAATTGTGTTGCAATTTGTCTAATTATGTTAGTAAAATAGTTTCGTCTACGCCAAATCGAAAAAATTGTATTTTATTGAAATTTATTTGTAAGAGTGCATTTACCCTTTCAGTTGTGTTCAATTCTGAAATTATTTTGAAACCACATGAATGGCAGCTTTTAATCGAAAACGAATTATTAAATGAGCTATTTATTTTTTGCTTGTTCTCAAAATCTATTATTTCGATAAATTTTTTCTTTATGTGAGTAGTCTCTGTCAGACCGCTTAAATGGGTAGCCAATTCGACAGAGTGTCACTGACCAAGCTTGAGTTGTACTTCACGGTTTTGGGTAGAGACGTGAGATCTGTCACGATTTCTAGACAATGTTCTCGCTTGCTAATTTCGGTACTTATTTTGCAACTTTTAATTTTGTCGATTTTACACAAGAAATCAATTGCAAAGATTTTCTAATCTTCTTGATGTTTCCAAAGCGTTGTGTTATTTTTGTTGTAGAAGCAAAAAACACTATATAAATAGTTTTGTGATATACGTACTGCTTTCTTAAAAACTTGTGGCGGGATGAAAACCTAGTAGAAATCTAGTACGATGCCGGTTATGTTGGCCCAATTATCTCGTTTTAGGCGCTTCTTCTCCTTTTGCGAAATCGAATTAAAGAATTTTTAGGAATGCTGTTGCAAAAAGCTTAACATCCTTGGCTACACAGACCAGAATGACAAGGTTTGTTTCGGTTTTGTTTGCTGTTGGTTTGCTCAAGCGTCTTTTTGTAATTTTCGATCTTATTATTTATTCACTGAAGTTGATAACTGCTTCGTAGCTACAGTTGTTTTTTGTGCAGACCGGAAAAGTTTATTAAATCCCAATCCAGATATTCTCGTGTTCCCGCCGAATAACGCACGGTCTGGTTCTGTTTACGACATTCGAAAAGTTTTCCATCAAACAATTAAATACGTCTTTTTAATTTGCAGAACGAAAACAGCAAAGTTAGCCTCGAAATCCTACGCAGAATAACTCTTGTTAACAGGTGCTACTTCGTATTGAGTAGGTAATTGAGAAGTAAAGTCCTCACTCGGCGAACAAAGAGCCGCCGCGAACCGCGTAAGCGGGCAAAGTTACTCTTAATGCAATCCTATTGGTCCTTACTACGCACTGTCCCAATAGGAATTCATGAGGCAAGATAAATAAAATGCGATGAAAGTAAAAATCTTGGCGGAATTAGTTGTCAAAATTTTATAGACGCGAATGAGATGCCATTCAGCAACTTTCTTTCCCATTGCCCAGCCTTTGAACGGCTGAGGTTGAAACATCTCCGAAACTGACATTAGCCGTCTCACGGATCTTATGATCCAGTATATAAGAGTTATTTGTCGGAACCGTCAGTATCGGACCAGTTACTTCTGCGAGCAGGGGGCAGAATTTGCAACCGGTAAGATATGCCAGTCGTATGGGGCGACTAAATTATATGTACTATGTCTGCTTTTTGGCTTGCCTCGAAATATCAGTATAAGAAATAGTGCTACGAAACTAAACTTGAACTAATATTACAGAATTGTAAAAAAAATCTGAAGTTCAAGCGACGAATGTTATCACTTATTGAGTTTGATGGGTGTTCAATTGGTAGTAGCAAAAGCCACAAGATTTACGACAGGTAGTAGTTAACCCTTGGAGTTCGCTCCCCTCTGCTCATTGGGCTTGACCCTTTGGGGAGATTCGTGGTGGCTGTGGTTTAGACTTAGAATTGAAAATTCATTTCCGTGTGGGGTCGTACTGACGTCGAGTGCCAGACCCACAGCATAGCAGAGCAACCCGATCAAGTTGGCAAAGGCGTACCTTCCAGGTGTACCTGACCAATCGGAATCAAATAGTATTTGCAAAAATTATATATTATTATGGGCGCTGAATAACGATTTATATGCTTTTAAATATCGAGCAAAGCGTCGCTGGGAGGATTTTTTTCTTTGTTTTTGACTTGATATCTTCAAGATGGATAACTATTCAGGGCATTGTTACAATTTCCGAACATATTGCTCTGATCAGACCACCATAATATATAGATAATTTCTGCAGTCTTCTCGATCTGTCAGCCACATTCGGCGGCGTGTGTCGCCACCAGACATTGGCCAGTTAGTATTGCGATCATTTTCCTGCAGTCTCTTCTATCGATCTATCCTTTTACACATGACGTTTTTGTAGTCTAGCACCCATAATGCTCATTTTATGGATTTCGATTTTCTTTGCCATGCTTCTGTCTAGATCGTCGTGTAGGCAATGCATGGGTTTCTCACTATTGACCACGTTTTCGGCTGTTAGTCGTATACCATTCTTGGCAATCTCGTTTAATATTTCATTACCCTCGATGCCTTTGTGACCTGTGACCTAGTAAAAGAAGATTTACTTGCAACACTTTTCACTGATGCGATTATTATAATTTTATTATCTATGTAGAGGCTAAGAATTTAAGCTCTATTTTTGGATTTGAATTCTTTATCATATTAAGATCAAGAAGTATCAAGAACTTTCCACATCCACATCATTTGAAAGTAATTTTAAACATAACAGGCAACGAATATCTCCCACACAATGAGCACTCACTTGAGAAAGCTACTCAAAAAGCTCCGCCACGCAAGCTTACACTCAATTTTGGCTAAATGCAAGGCTTTTAGCCACAAGCGCTAATGTGTGTGGTAATAACAATTTTCAGATTAACACGGGTCTTTGAGTGGCGCGCACATATGTCTCTTAGTAACGCTCGCGCATGCGCATTGATTAAGCCAAAGTGAATTGTGCAAACGGAGCGAAGTTTTGCGAATTTCACACGATAAGCAATACAAGAAATTAGCAAATTTGCGAAACTATTTACACATGTGCATATTATTCGGCTGCAACTTTTAACTAACCGTACAAAACGACTTGCCAGAGTTGAGCAGAGCGCGCGCATGCGTTGGCCGAAGTGTTGCAAGATCAAGCGCGTAAGTTAAAGGCGAAATTGTGGTTCAAATCTTTAAAAAAAAGTAAATGTTGTGAATAAATGCAACAACAAATGAAATAAAAAGGTATATCATACAAGAAAACAATTTTAATTTGTATAAAAAGGAACAGAAAAGAAATAATAACAAAAAAGTGATATTTTAGTGAAAAAAAAATATATATATTTTTAAAAAAATATTGCATTGAAAATAGCTCATTAAGTGTTTTATAAAGTATTTACGCTGAATTTGGTA